TATTATTATATTATTATTTTTTATGACTATTTATTAAATTTTAATTTATGATTTCGTGTTTCAAATTTTAACCCGGGATGTTTTCTAGACTCTTGTTCGGACAGATTTCAGTGAGTTATTCCTAAAAATTACAGGCCTACAATAAAGAAAATACATATTTCCATGAAAAAAAATGTACCGCTTTGAGCACAGAAATATGGACATAATTAGACCGCTAGGGAGGTTAACTTGAGTATACAACCTTGGCTTATCTGTCTTTAGCTGAGGAAACATTCTGGGGTTACAGAGTCCTGGCCAGGATGACCATAGGCTCTGAAGATGATAAAGCTACTTACAGTCATGAGGAAGCAAAGAAGAGCTGTGACTAGCAACATCGAGATCCCAAAGGCTCCTCCTGTGTTTCCGACATCAGACTGCATTTTTATACCATGTGTTGTAATGGATTGTACAGTTGTTTTCATTATTCTATTTGACATGACAGCACATGAAAATGCACAGAAACTCAGACATTTTTTTTTACCAACAAAGTGCAATGTAGCACACAGATATGAAGAGGCTCATTAGATTCAATGTATTTTTATGACACATGTGGTTTTGTGCATTTCAAAGGGTAAGTAAAAATGGAAAGGTGTGAAGCAGGCCTAAATGATACAGTACTGGATATGTGTTATCTTCACATGCACACAGCTTTTCTTTCTTTAATTGACTTCAACAACTCCCTAATGGGCCCCCATTTCACCACCTGGCAGCAATGCATAAAGGTTCATTTTTCTACTCCCAAAATGCATTTTAACATGGTATACTTTGTACATTATAAGTGCACCACATTACATCTGGCCCACTTGACTGTTTTGACAGGTAGCGATCATATTTTCTCTACACACAAATAAACTTTCAACACAATGGAGGGCATAAATAACCTTGATCCAGCTTCTTTGACTTGCTTTGAAGCTTACCCTTTGGTACAAGAGATGCAACATTCATCTTCTCAGTGCAATTACGTCTGACAGATGCTACTCAATGTGGTATGCTTGTACATGGCCAAGCATATTGCACTCTATAAATGTGCCTATGACTATAAGCCCAGGGAGAGGAAACTGCAGTAATTATGTGTGCCAGTTGCTGGAGAAACAAATGATTTTCTAGTCAACAAATTGAAGATACACATTGCTCACAGTCACACAAATACATCACAAAGCACAACAGGGATCAATAAAATAGATATTTTATGTAAATGTTTAACACATTCATTTGGGTTACTTGTAATATACATACGTTTTTTTTTTACAAATCACAGAATAGACACAAAAGCAGATAGACCTAACTGCAAATATTACAACTGAATGTAAGACGTCACACACAAATTGTCAATTAGCACTGGACCTGCATCACATACTTCATATCACAAGTTCAATGTTAGCACCACACGTCAGCGTTAAACAGGATCCTATTCTCATACTAGTGCAGACAAAAGTCAATACATACAAAACAGATGAGTGCTATACTGAACTGTGCTACATTTGAGAATTAGGCTTCTAGCATAAACTCAATAATGCTCCTTTGGGAAAGTTGCTCTATGAATCCCACACAACATTCATTGCTTAATTATAAAGTGAATCAGCATCCGTAGTACACAGTTTTGCTATTTAAAGGTTTGCTCAATTGTCTAACTTGTGTACACAGGCTACGTACTGGAATTGAAGTTTACTTGATGAATTTGCAGTTTATAATGCATATGACAATTCTAGCTTCTACACAACCTGAAGCATCGAAGCAAGTTTCTACTGGGATACCCCACTGAAAACATTTGGACCAGACTGAAAGAGACATTGATGTAAGCAATAGTATCAGTCATGCTTCTAGGGGGATAATCAGTTATTTGAATTAAGTACATGTAATAGCAAAACAGGTGGTTTACTTGCAAATAATTAGTACCCCATTAGTACATAATGCTATTCTCACAAACAATTACACCATAAAGACTTCATATGTCTTATTAAAATTGGAGAATGAAAAATTAGTCTAATTATTTATAACTCAGATGGTCTTATTCATATACTTTTATTATTTTAAAAAGGTTTGCGTGAAGAACAGGTGCTATAAAATGCATCTCTTCTGTTATTGATAGTAATATGAAGTGTATTGATTTCCTGTACACAGTAGAGGACCCATCATGAGCTAAGAATGTTTTTCCCCTTATATACTCATATCTATAATACAGTAGGCTGCAAGTGTATATGGACTGTGAACGGTCATCCTTTCTTCTACCATGGGTTTGCATGAGCTGTTCATTGCAGTAATACTCTCACTGCATAACACGGCCACAAGGGAAGGGGAAATTGAGGATGGGAGCCACAAGTCCATGAGCAGCAAAGGTGTTAAGGTTCGATGTAGCAAAAATGCAGTCAAATAAATGTACTAGGGAATAGTTTCTTTGGGACTTAGCAATAGAATACAAAAGTGAGCATTCACTGATAACAATTCTCTGTTTATAGCAGGTAAAAGTTTACTTTTTGTCTGATTATGTCCAAAAAAAGTGAAGTGACCTTTGCTCCTTTGCTGTATCTAACTTTTTCTGAATTTAGACATAAAAGAGAAAAACTGATTGGCTTTTGTGGAAAAAACAGTCTCTTTCAGTCTTGTGGTCAAGTTTAATTCTTATTGGCTATTGCACTTTGCTACATGCTTTTTTGTATCTTACAACTATGTGCATATAGTGAAAATCCTGAGCTTTGAATTAATTATTTTGCCATTTGGAAAGCTTTAGTATATCTATGTTAGAAAGCATTGTGTACATACCAGTTTTCTTTTAGTTTATCTTTAAATAAATGTGTTCTGTTGCAACAATATGACATTTTTGTCATAGCAGTTCAAGTATTTGTAATACCCAGTTGAGTAATTAAAAGCATAGCAAAATCTGTACTGAATATTTTTATGCGCTTAACGCTAGGTGGATGCTTGATCTTTTTATCTGAAATAAGTGGGGGTTGTTTGGTGCAAATGTTGGTCGCAAAACATTTTCTGTGTAAATGTACAAACCCAACTCCTGCAATCTGTGCCTTTCACAAAAAATGGCCTGGTCAGGAAGGGGGGTAAATCTTCTGGAGGTCAAATGGTTAAATGGCATTATAAGACATGGATATAAAATTATGTTTTGTTCTCCTCATCTGAAGACTGTGTAACATGAAATGAAAAATATAGTATTAAAATGGCTGTGACTATATCTATGGCTGTTAAAAAGAAACTGCTTTCGGACACTGGCGTAGATGACACCATCTGGCTGCAGAATTATTTATCCAGACAGCAATGGAATCTAGCAAATGATTAGTACGAATGATTGCATGTATGATTCTGGGCCAGTGCCAGATTGCTATAAAACAGTCTGCACACAGAAATGACTTCGAATGACACAGAACCAAGTGGTAAGATTGCCATATAATGGGTCAGGCTTTTGCAACCGGTATTAGAAACATAAAGTTACTATTCTGCATATTATCCAATGCTGTTCATTAAGAATGTTTGCCATTGTGCCTAACATTAAAACAACTCTGAGTCAAAACATGGACAGGCTTCTTCAACCAGCCTGCTCAGTGAGAATGATAAAAATGCTAACAGTAAAGTATAAAAAAAATCTGGAATCTACAGTATGGTCACAAACTACTATTATACAAGCTTGTTAATTAGAGTGAAAAAATGGGCTTAGTAACTCATTTTAATTAGACAGTGTTCATCATCTTGTACTGGCTGATCTGAACTGAAATTTGAGGGCTGTGAGTTACAGCACATCATCACTACCCTTCACAGTAGAGCTTTGCTAAATAAAACCAAAAATGTATAAATGTCTACAAACTGTGAAATACATTCTGTGGGCAAAAAAAAAAAATTATAAGAAGCTAGCTTTTTAACCAATTCAGATGTTAGTGCCATGTAACCAAGGCAATTTTTTTAAGAATGGGTACAAATAACTTTATTTAGATTTGTGAGAAGTTGGGTAACAAATTGCAACCTTACATAAAACAAAATGAATAAGAGAGTTTTTCATATCCATGGCATGAAATCTGATGAAGGCCAAACCCCCTGAAATGTCTGATACCAAATTACTAATTTCTCTTGAATCTCCAGTAAGATTTTCAGTAGCAGTTTGTCTCCACTTTCTCTCAAAAGACTGTAACAAAATTTTAATTATCTAACCAGCTAGTTTTCCCCAATTATTTAATTGTTTTACATTGTGGAGAGTCCACAGATTGAGCATAATACCATGACTGGCTGCAGTAGTTGATCTGAACTAGTGGACTAAGACGGTAAAAGCCCGTATGTAAACTTGCCAGCAAACACACAAATTTGAAATAGTTAGTCTTAATGCCAATTCATTTTATGAATAGGTGTACAATCATTGCTGCTTGTAATAATTTTTTAGAACATATCTAAGGCCACAATTCACTCAGCTCTATTCAATTAGAGCAAATAATATCACACTTCCTAGATTAGGAATGGACATTATTTTCCCTGAGTTGTCTTACTGATATCAACATCACACAATTTTAGATAATGTGATACTATAGCGTGTACCCTGCTATCATTGCAGTCTCATCTTTTTCGACAACATCAGTTTAAGAAAAAAATCTAAATCTTTTTCAAAATACAAACTTGAATTAATTTACTAACACTTCTAGTACACAATCTGAACTTACAAATGAAGGTTCAGTTAAAACATCAATTTCAACAAGTTTTTTTCATAGTAAAGTAGATTGACAGTAGTAGAGTAGATTGGCTGCTGAATTTAAAGGTTAAAATGTCAAAAAATACCCTTCTTGAATATATTAGATGTTTCTTTCATTTGACTTCAATGTGTTTCACTCAGCTTAGCACAAGAGATTAAGAAGACCAATGAAGATTTGGGTTGTAAATGCACCATTGGGCAGATTGCAGGATTTCCTTCTCTCATCAGCTGGTACAGTAAATAACACATGTTTGCTTTCTCCTGTTTTCCTCTTTATAGGTCAGGACGTGGACATACAATCCAAAAATTCATGGCATACGCACTGGCAGAAGCCATATACCATAAGTATAACAAGGCTAGAAGGAACAAGGCTTACAAAGACAACCCCAAGGGTTACTTTTTTTGATACCAGCAAATAGATCCCCAGAGGCAACGAGCTAAAGTAAAGTAGTCCTAGCAACCAAACAAAGACACGTACTGAGGTTTGGCAGATGAGTGATGTACAATTCCACACTGTCCAGTTCTGAGGCATTGAGACTGGGTCATATGTTGAAGGCCGGTAGAATTCTACCACAGGAGTAGCATTGAGGGATGGAGAATTTTCCCTCTGGACTTCCATTATGGTGATCACAAGGCAGTTGGTAGAACTGTGTGATGGAGTGACTAGAGTTGACAGGCGTTTTGGTGTTAGAAGCAACTCTGTAGGATTGTCTCCAGAACACCTTCCTTTGCCACCACATGTGAGGTTAAGTAAGATATTGTTGTCATCAGGGAGACTACTAACCTCATCCTCAGGTAGTCGAGTCTCAAACCTACAAAATGGACATACGATCACACATTGTGGAGACTCCACACAGTCCACAAGTTTGTACAGGCATTTGGCACATACTCTGTGACAACAGCCCAAAACTTTTGGTTTTCTCTGTCTTAAATTGTATCGGTTGTAACATATCTTGCATTCCAGCTCATCTGAGTTTAGGTTTGGAGACTCAGATGTATCTTCAGCTACTTGCCCAGTCATTGTGTCTGCCAGGAATCTCTGTAGGAATTTCCAGAAAATCAATGGGCCTCATGGGATGATTGTCAAAGTGTGCAGATTTTTATCCACCTTAACTGTACTCATAGTACAATCAAAGTGAAATATAAGACACCTAAGAGCTTCAGGCTTCATTACTTGAAAATGCTCCTCTAGTCCACATTTTCTCCACTTTCCACAATCTTCAGCTGCAGTCGCATTGCAGGATTCTGGAACAGAACAGTTTACATTGTTAGATTCATGTGTAAAGCCAGGAACTGAATTGATTTGCTGGCATTTTCTAGGCAGCGCAATGACACTGACACAATTGTCTTTACAGAAAGGGCTGAATGGCATTTTTTTCTCAGTTTCTGACTACTCTGTGCTAAATACAACAAGCAGAATGAAATATTCACATGAACCAAGAATTTAGCATTTAACTATGACACTCAAGTAAATATAATTTACATAATTTTAATAACTGAAAGGTCATAATCAGGTAATAAAATAATGTAATAATAATAACTAATCAAAAACACACTACAAGCTTGTTGATGCACACGCAGTATTTTTTTTTTTTATTACTGTATGGCGCGCACTTTTTCTGATTACTTCTATGTTTTAATATTTTTTAATTAATGAACAGTGGTGTGAATCTAAGTGCCCATACCCTAACCTTCTGGGATGTACAGTGGTGTGGATTTAAGTGTCCATACCGTAATTTTCTGGGACTCTAACTTTTTATTTTGGATACAGCACCAAACAGATTAGTTATCTGTAATGATGTTTATCCCATTGCCTGCAGGAAGATACTTCTAGTAAAAACCTGTTCAGTGCCTCCTTCAGAGCTCTCAGATACTGCCTTGAGCATCTGTCTTCCGGCACTAGGAAGGTCAACAGCAGCTGCTGAAAATAGTTGCACTGCTCACCCGCCTATTTTTGCTGTCTCTGACGTTCATATAGCTCTTACTACTCACAAAATGCATCGTGTTCTGTAAATAGAGGAGAAGCAATTAAATGACAGGATCTCCACCACAGAATGCAATGCATTGTGGGAGAATAGTCACATGAGTTTTGTGAATGACAGAAAGGGCAAATGGGGGCAGGTGTGAGTGGCGCAACTTTTCTCAGTAGCATCAGCTACTGTTTGCTGCTTAGGGCAGTATCTGGCAGGTTGAAGAAGGCACTAAATCCTAATGTAGACGTCAGCAATGACAAACTGCATCTTTTTCTTATAACAGATTTCTTTTTAAGTGAATCTCTGTCCGGACTTTGTACACTAAAGTATTTGCGTACCCTGAGCAGTAGCAGTAAAACAACAACAAAGTAAATACCCAAATACTTTAATATTCATAGGCTAGAAACAAGTGCACTTTAAGAAATCTGATAAAACTTTCTCACAGAACCTAAGAATTTCTATTTGTAGTTTTAACCTATAATCATGACTTATTTGGCTATGTTATGTTTCTGTGCATCATATTTGTTTTTTGATTCCCAGATTATCCTCCATTTAAATTTTTGTTAAAAAGAACCAGTTACAATTTGGTTTACACACAAAACATTAAACATTTCATCTTAAAGCGGAGTTCCACTCACCCTGTCAAGAAATAAAAGTCAGCAGCTACAAAACTGTAGCTGCTGACTTTTAAAACACAGCCACTTCCTGTCCCTCGGTCCTACGGTGTGTCCCCCGCAGTCGTCCTGTATTCCAGGAAGCCAGCATCTTCAGTGTGGGTACCCGGCTGTGACTGCTTGCGGCTTCACAGCCGCGGGTACCCACTGCCCATGTGCAAGTAGCGCTGTGTTTCATGAATGGCCCTGTAGTCTCCTGGGACCTGTCACATGTCCCCAAAAGACTAGAGGGAGGGAGGGAGAACACTTTCCGCTAGGCGATTGGACCGGAAGTGGGAGTGGGTATCTGTCAAATTCGGGTACCTGCTCCCTGCCCCCCAAAGGTGCCAATGGGGGAGCTCCGCTTTAAATCCCTAAAGAGGAACTTCACCTTTTGGGTGAAGCTCCACTTTAAATACCTACAGTTCTGGAGGCTTGCTTATTAAATATGTACCTGTTTCTTAAAGTATATATGAACCCTCACCTTGTAAAACAAACCCATTCAGTTTAAAATAGAAATGGAAAGCAAAATATTTGTGTATAGATATAAACAAAATTGCAAATTCCTTTTTTCTCCTGTTTTATAAGTGATCACAAACCCCCTAAGAGCTTTATGCAGGTCAGAACAGAGAGCTGGGAAAGGAGAAACTGCAGTACATTGAACTTTCCAGTGAATGGCTGTGTGGTGATTGGGGGGAAGGTTGTGTAAGCAGAAGTCTGATCATTGGAGGAGAGCAGGCTGCGTTCACAGCACAGCTAGATAACTGACCACATTTTGTTCTCATGCCTAGTGTAGTCAGTGTTTATTAGGAAAGCAGAGGGACTGGCATTCAAACAAGTACATTGTACAGCACGCACATATCAGGAATATGAAATGTTGGGTTTACATATTCTTTCAACTTTTTTTTTCTGAGAGAGATTCTAGGATTAAAACAAAACTAAAGTCTCCATTTGGAAAACTGTGAACAGAAAAAATTGCAAAAAAGATAAGCAATGTCTTTTCAGAAATAAAAAAAACCTACCTGCCTGCTCACAGTCTTCTTTTAAATGTACACTGAGCTGTGCATACATAGTAGTGAAATCATCCTGAGCTGGCTAGTCAAGATGGCCATAGCTTGGCACCTGAAAAAAGCCAGGTACGAGATGCCAACAAGGGACTGTTGAAGGAGAGGTGAATATTGTGGACTTTAAGTGCAGAGCTGAAAGACTTTGAGGTCTGACAAATGATGTCTTGTGAACTGCAAGGAGCCATGCAGATAATACATGTTGTCTCTTAGCTCCAGTACCTTATAATCTAATAATTAGTGATGGGCTTTATGTACGAGACGATCGTAAGTGCGACTCCAAAATTCAGCAAACAACACGAACAGTAAGGGCTTTTGGCGGGCTGTTCGCTCGCCATGCCCCACAATGTACTGCGCCCTGCCAACAGGTCAGATGCAATGCTTTGGCCAGTCACAGTGTATGATAATGTTACAAAGGGGCGATGGTAACGCCGCCCCCTTGTGATGTCATCATAGTATTTTTAAGAACTGTCATTGTGGTGCAGCTGTCAGATGGCCAGGAGCTAGCGTCGACAGTGGAGTGTTTTGTCCTTTTTTTTTTTCTTTTTTCAGGCCGCAGTGGCAGCGGGCATTTGTGACTGACATCGGATCTACTTCATGGGGGCATTTTTTTATTTTGGTTTTTATTAAAGGACTTGTGAAAGACTGTCTCCTATCATTCTTACACTACATTTTTTTTGTGAATGGGTAGCAGTACAATGTACCGCATACTCATTTACACAGGGGGGCCGGGATCTGGGGGCTTCCAGATTCGGATAAACTCCCCGCCCGCAGACCCCTACAACCACCGGCCAGGGTTGTGGGGAAGAGGCCCTTGTACCCATCAACATTTTTTTTTAAAAACTGCGTGGGGGTTCCCCTCAGAATCCATACCAGACCTGAAAGCCTTGGTATGAATGGGAGGGGGGACCCCACGCCATTTAAAAAGAAAAAAAAAAAATAAGAAAATAAGAAGTCAACGTGTGCAATAATCAGAATTAAACAATATCCAGCCTACTGCATTAGCTCATTTGTGACTGATTTGCTTTAAAATGTCACGCAGAAGCACTTTAACGATGTCCAAAAATACTCAAATTGTGCCACTGAACATGGGCAGAATGTGATATAAAAAATATATAAATAATATATCTACTAATATATCTATCTATTTGAATTTGTCAAATCCTTATTGTTGCTTACTAGTTAAAATCTGCTGTAAAGTGGTCCATATAGTAAAATGCAGTCATACTTTATATTTGTACAAAAACCCATGACCTGTGACATTTTTAGATTTTACAAGTACAGGCATTTGCTCTAAATTACTGACAGTCAATCAAATGTGAAGCGTGAAAAAGCTATATTTAGTGCCATACAAAATACATTTACATTTTGCAAATCCATTCTCTGTAACTGTACATACCCTGTACATTTACATACCTCTATAAATTTACATAGCTCTTGTCATAAACTGTCAGAAGGTGACAAAGGAAAACAATTCGAAATATATTTTTTTTAGTACACTAATTATGCAGAGCTTAAAGTGAACCTTTTTTTCCCCATGTAAGCAGAACAACAGGTTTACTTTAATGAAAGCCCCCCCAGCACTTGCCCATCTTCCATTTGCTTCTGTGCAACTTTGTTCAGCCGATCTGTGTAAGTGTGGCAACTTGAAGCTTAGTCAGGCTTAAAAACGCTCACCCTAGCCTCACATGACAGTGCTGCATGCTTCCCTATACCCTAAAGTACTTGCTTTTTTTCTTCACTCTTGGTGGTCAAATTTTGGGCCCGGGGAGTGAAGGGGTATTTCTAGTGGAAATTGAGGTGAACCTATTACTTTGCCTTGCATAATGCTCCATACCCAGCTGCTGTGAGCTGCTGGGGTATCGTGTGATCAATATGACCAAAGCGATCACATGATTACAATGTAAACAAAACAGTCAAGAATTGTTTCTATTTATGACTCCTTGCTTAGTGTTGTGAATCTGTGAATGGCCCATAGCTATCACATGGTACCTGACACCCTGTACCATGTGAACAGCTGTAGCCAATCACAGCATGTCAACAGAAAGCAAACTGTCATGAATGGAAAGCCATTCATTACAGTCAAATATTTCTTATAATATCATCGCTGTTATAAGCAAACCCAGTGTAAAAAAAAAAAAAAAAAAAATCCCTGAGCAGCCCCTTCTCCCCCAGAGTAGTACAGTGTCATTATGGTGAACTACTCCAATAATAACAGTATAGAAAAAAAAAGATGTTAAAAAAAAAACAATGTTAAAAAAAAAAAAAAAAAGATATAGCAAATTGAATTACAACATTAATAAATAAATAAATAAATATATATATATATAT